TAATATTTTCTTGTGCATCCTAAAGCAGAGCTATGGGAGGTTGTAATTTTTTTTATATACTCACCTGGTACTAGTATTACTCCGAAGTAATAGAACATGTTGACCCATTTCGCTATCATTTTTTCCCACTATAACCTGTTGATTTTAGACCAATCAGATAGAATTTGACATTACTAGTACTTTTGAGATCTTGAGCAATATTTTTGATCATATTGAAAATGATGTGTAAACTTTGTGTTGACAATGTTGGTTTATTTAAAACTTGTCTAAACTGAACAACAGGACAATGAGACATTTCTAATCTGAAAATCAAAGGTACAGAAAAAATTGTGGGTTGACCGAGGTGTTTGGTTAATACATGTATACGTCTTTTATATAGTCTGGAGAATTTACTGGTTATATTTGATTTACACTGTTTTTATTTGGGTTTGACAGGTTTTTCCCATTGATAGCGTAGTATTTGTTATTGTGGAGCCTAAACATGACCAATTAGTCAACTGGATTTTATTTTCATCAGCTTCTAATTGAACTGGACACTTTTCTATCAAATTTTTTTTTTCTGTAATTTTATATTCTAAATTAATGTATTTTTATATGTAGTTCACTACAAAATAAATATCCCATGTATTATGCAATTGCCTGTGTTCTTCATTTGATTTGGATGATAATTTTCATTCAATTCATAATCTATGAGTCTTCCTATTGGTGGAGAGAGGGGTACATTTCACCTCCATTTAGACGTAGGACTGAAGGCTTATAGATTGACCGTTGTTTGCATGTTCAGGTGTGTCTGTACAGAGATTTCACAGCCGTGTATACTTGACGATTATAGACGACACTAGTCTAAAAAGATATACAAATTCTGCATGAAGATGCTTTGCTCATCCATAAATGTCGATACATTTCTATTTCTTCACCCAATTTATAAAAACATACACAAGTCCCAAGTGACTTTTACCACAGTCCCTCTATCAGGGACTGTGCTTTTACATTGCTTTGTCTCGGCACAAATAACACTTTGACTATAGATGATAGAGGGCGCTGTGTCATCTGAAGTAGAATGACAGGTATTCATATCAGATTGTGAAGCAGTTCTTGTGATTCTCTGCAATTACTTTATAGCTTCCACGTTATGGAGAGAAACCGCTGAGAATATTACATCATTTAAAGTGTATAACTGAAAAATGATGCAACTCACTATGGCTGTGTAATGCAATCATTTTATATATACTTCGAAAGTGTATAATTTTAATACGCAAAATTATATAAAAGAAATGACAATAAATAGTAAAAAATATTTAAACTTGCACAATCCATAAAAAAAATACATCTCCTGTAACATAAAGGTGAACAATATTTTCAGTGCGCATAAATAAATAAAAAAAAAAAAAAAGTTTTATACATCTACATCTTCAGATTTGAATTTGCATGAAATCTGAGATGATCCCATAATTACCAATTGTACATTTCTAGAATTCTTAATGCATATGAGCAAGTCTGAGAAAGAACTGGTTTTGCCCTTGCTTATTCACAAAGTGTATTTCATCTTTTTAAATACAAAGATATTCTTGCTAATATCTGTTTACCAGGATACAATCAAACAATTCGTTGTGCTGACTGTGAATTGTAATGTCATGAACAAATTCCAGTAATGTGCCCATGGAACTCTTGCAAAATGAGATGATAAGAATATCATGGATACATGGATATTCAAGTTACATGTCTTCCCATATGAATCCTTAATATATTGCATATCACCTTGCCTGGAATCCATCCATTCGGAGTGCATTTCCCAGTGCACTCAAGAATGAGCTGGTGAATTGCTACGTAAATAGACAATACATACTGTGGACGCGTAAATGAAAAGAACACCTAATTAGCAACATCATCAGCAAACTTGCTAATTAATCGCCTGTGCTGATTCAAACTGGCGTCTGGAGATGTTATCAGATTAGGCCATCCCATTTTCAATAGGAGGCCAAGATACTTTTAGAGAAGGGCATAATCGGTATATGAATTTTCCATAATAATTGTTGTAATTGTACTTTAGAATTTATTGCATTTGAAATAGCGCAAAGCGAGAAAAAATACAAAAACTTAGCATAATGTAACGACTTGAGAATGCACCCCTCTCAGTAAATACTATTGCCTCCTTTTGAGAATGAGGTGGCCCAAGGTATTTCAAATTGATAACAATCTCTAGACATCAAAACAGGCGATTATTCGTTCTTTTTATTCACGCATCCACACTAATTCTGTGTCATCACTGATTGGCTGTTCTCATACAACTTCAGTAGATTATCATCTGCAGACTGCCCACCCACAACCCTCCAGACTGATTCACTAATCTATTATTCATTAATAGACAATAATAGACCACATCTACTCTAGATATTCCTATACATGGATATCTGAGTTGCATACATTACCCTATAAAACTTTAAACAAGTATTGACCAATAAAATACAACTAATCTAATACACTACAGTAAGATTGAGTCCTAAACAATGTACAATAGATAATAGCTACTTGTATAAAAGATTAAAAGCTTATCTACATACTAATTACCTAATTTATAACATCAAATGAGAAAATGTGTCAGAAATAATCCACAAGTTTGAACTTCAACCATTTGATCACTTATTATTAATGTTTGTCACCTATATCTAAAAACTACTTTAATTTTAGGCAAGAACTTGGCTAATACTGGGAACTAAATTTGTACTATCGGAACTTGGCTTGACACTAAATGTACTAGGTCTGTAGCCTGGGTCAGGTAAAATTACCATTCAGACAACTGAATAGTAACTCACTTGCTTAAACAGACTATAGTAACTATATAGGCAACAATCACATAGAGGGGTTAAAGGTTAATATCAAGCCCTGTAGAATCTCTTTATATCTGAATAACAGTACTAAGGACTATACGCTATTTCACTTCATAACTAGCGCTACAATATGCTTCAGGTTATCCTCAGAATGAAATCAAATGAAATATACTATTTTTTAAAATCATAGATATAAATTTTTTGATAAAGTTGAAAGAATGCAAAAAAAGTAACTAATTTCTTAGATTTCAGATAAAAACCTGACTTTGCCAAGGCTGCTTGAGCTCCCAACTGGTATTCACCTACGTGTGCTAGTATCCTTGTGTAACGTCTCTTTTTTCCGAACTGTATGGCAGATTCAATTAATGTTTTCCCAATTCCCATTCTCCGATAGAGCCTGGATACACTGAGGGTCTGTAATTCCAATGCCAGTGGATCAGATCGCATTTCACTGAGGGAAATAGTACCTACGATGTCACCACCATCGTCAGCCACAAAGAAGGTAGCTCTACGGTTATCAATGTAATTTTTTGTTATATCCTGAAGATCTGCCATTAAGCGACTTTTAGCGTATGCTACAGACTTAATATAAGATACTGCATATAAGATTAGTATCAAAATAATAATGGCGGAGCCGGCTACGATATAGGATCTGAACACTAGCCATGCCAGGAACGCCATTACACTGATGTAGAGACGAGAGGAACTGCGGTGGAGAAATATTCTGAAAATGTCCTGTGAATTACTGACGCATCCTTCACGGAAGACCTTCTTTGCTTCAAGCGTGTCTTTTTTCTGACAAGGACGAACGACAACACCAACATCATCAACGGACGCCATTTTATACCCTTTGTAAAGAAACAGAATACAATCAGTGAAAATTGTCAACTCAGACTTTGATATTAACATTCTAAAATATGAATGGTGCACACCGTATCTACCCTATTTGTGAACATGAACGTTTGCATAGGAATTTGTTAAAGTGGGAGGGTTGTCACCTATGTATGCGGGGGAATTGAATCCCAAGGGACGATAACAATACATGCTAAAAACGCAAAGGCTCATGGGTAGACGCTTGTTTTGTAAACAATGACACGCTATGGCCATCTGACGCATGCGCAGGTGACGACTCCCCCGCTTAAAAATGTAGCTTGAGGTGCATGATGATTTAAGGCTATGGCGTAAGTTTAGAGTCATTTGCATAACTACATTGATACATTGTTTGGAACATATTGACTACTTGGACTCCAGGCTTAGCAGTGGAGTAATAAACATCCTAGTTACAAGTGCTCCTCTCCAGTGTGTTATTTTCCTCTCGGATTTGGTGACCAATACTCACTTGGTTTACTCTACTCTGAGAAGTCGGTTCTCAGTTTGCAAGATGATTTACTGTAAACACATTAATGGGTTTAATTTTGTTTGGAGGGGGGGGGGGATATCGTTGAAATATGTATTCATGTGAACATGTAAAATTACAATAGACGGCATTGTTTCATTGGCAGATCTGAGAATTTAAAATAAATAAATAACAAAATCAAATGACACCCATCTTTGTAATTTTTTCATCAAATTAGAAATTTATTTGAGATAAATTGAGTCTTAATCTCAAGCAAAAGAAACCATGATGGTGTCTGGATGCCAAACAATAACGACCAAAGTATATAATATCATCTTGATTGTCAGTGCTGATTTAATCAATGAATAATTCCCTGAGGAATGTCACGTTAGTTAGTTATTTAGTCGGCTGATATGAAAAATCGTAGCTTGCATAATTTAATATTCTCAGTGAAATTACATGTAAAATACAGAAACAAGGTACCTACCTAGAATGACGAGTCTAAATATGATGACATAGTCGCTAACTTTGTTATTATTTAGAGTACATCAAGTCACCATATGATATATCCAGCCACCTATTTCAATCGCAAGAAATTGTGGTATGATTTCCCGGGGATGAATTATTTTGGAACAGATAAAGAGATACAGAGAACGGACGACAAGAAAACCGCCCTCTTACGATCGATCGATGGCCTCTTTTTAGAGGTCACACTGTGATGGGTTCCCCTAGGTTTTTAGATTTTAATAGAATATTAAAATGTATATTTAACGGCTTTGTTACATATACTCTATGTGTATATAATCAAATAAAGTCATGAGTAGTAATTAAATTTGAAATTTAGAGGTTTGCACTTCATACAAACCGAAAATGTCATAAAACCCGCGTAGTTTTCTTATGCTAATAATAAACTCCCTAGCTCGCCTATATATTCGGGTCATCTCGGAAGAGTTCGGGCTGTGTCGACGTGTCGTGCTTCCTTTTTGCAAACAACAGTCGAGATGGCAGGTGGCAGCAAGAAATTGACGAAGGAAGAAGAGCTCTTGCTGCAGGATTTCAGTAGAAATGTTAGCACTAAATCATCGGCGCTGTTCTACGGCAATGCCTTCATCGTTTCAGCAATTCCAATCTGTAAGTATTTATTTATTTCGTGTTTTTTTCGATGATGTTTCCACACGGTGTTTTCGGTTTTCACAATAAAAAAAAATAATGTTGAGGCTTACCATACTGCCCTCTAAACAGCTGATCGCAAATTAATTCGTCAACAATCCTGGTTTTTGCTTACACTGTGTGTATTCATATGTTCTACAATGAAATATTTATCATTTATAAGCGAATGTACTACTTCTATCCAAAATTACCGGCGTTATACCAATATACCAGTCTCGCATGTTGCATGTGCTGTTGTAGTTATTGTTTTATCACTTTTATCTATAACACATTTGTATCTGTGTTGGATCGTAAATATTTCTTCAATTTATTTTATGGAATAGTACGTTTATTTTTACAAATATCGCAACATAGGAGATACATTTTCACTATTCACCCCTCGTAAATAAGTTAAAGTACCAATTTAACATTGTTTAAAAACTCGAAACATGCTGAAATAAGGCAAACATTTAAACATGCCTCTAGTCTACCTCCAACACTAGCCCTAATTTCTCCCTTGAAAGAGAGAAAAAAAGAGGGAATAGGCATGGAAATCGCCCAGCTGCAAGGGGAATAGTGTTGCATTATTTTTTATTACAATTTTTTGAGGGGGATTGTTTGTAGTTTTTCCTATTTCAATATTCCACATAATATAAGTTCTCAAGTCTAAAACAAGTTGTTTGTAAATTGCCATAGTCATTTAATTGTGTTTGTTTCCCCATTGGTCTTGTACAACATGTAATGAAAAATGTTTTTTTCCACTTGGAATAAGTTTTGGTTATTTTCGTTGAAGGGATGAATATGAAGATAAAATCCATCGAAAAAACTTTTTCTCCTATATTTTACATTCTAGTCATCAACAGTCGGCAAAAATAAATTCCACACAAAACAAGTGACGTAACAGGTGCTGAACGGTACCCTCATCTGCAGAACTAAAAAAATACAGCCATTGACGCATCTCAAATAAATGTCTATTAAAGAAATTACAAACGTAACTGTTTATTGTTCTATATAATTAACAGTTTAGTGTGCTTTTCTATAGTTTTTTCTACTCAGCATATGCAGCCCAATTGTTTTAGTCCATGCAATTATTATTTTGTAGGACCGGGTAGGAAATCATGAAATGAATATTTTACGATGTTCTTTCCAGCAGTTGCATTAAAATAGGGGTCTATTGTTAACTTACTTGGGAGAGGGGGCAGAATAATGTATGTATCAAGTTGATGAATGAAAGTATGGCTAAACTCATTGGTTTTCTATAACCCTTGAGGAGTGCAGACCAAACGATTTCTATTCGCTTGCATCAATATCATTTGAAAATCATGATTATTCTAGAAATGAGCTCATTTATAATTTTTATGCATTTTTTTTCTGCAGGGGTATTCTGGCGAATCCATCAAATGGACCTTTTCCAGACTGGTATTCTGTTTGGTTTGATGACAATTATCAGCACATGGCTAGTCGCATTTGCCTACAAAAATGTCAAATTTGTTCTTAAGCACAAGTAAGTTGAAAGTCACTTTGCTGAATCTTTGTTTCACTGCATGTGTCTATTATTTGGAAATCTATGTTCATTATTTACAAATGTTCAAGCTGGGGAAATCCAGACAGGAAAGCCTGTAGGACTTGACTTTTAAAAGAAAAGGTAGTGTATTTACTGCTAACTGTGAATTGATGTTCTCAAAGCGGGCGTTATCAAGATCACAGGCAGCCCACTCCAACATCGCCGTGGATTCCTACTATATGTGCACTGTTTTTGTTCAAACAGATGAGCGAAACTCAAATGAGTTACTGCTAAAACCTTGATTTGTCTGTAAAAATCTCAATTACACTTTGAATTTGATGTAAATAGCTAAAATTGTTGTGTACAGAGAATCAAAGTTTAGTTATTGCTGGTGTCCACATGTACATTCAGTGTCGGTATTCTGTCCTGAATGTCTACCCTGTTATGCTATTGCAGTATCCATGGCAGAGTGCATAGCTGACAATGAATGTAAATAACGCTCACTCTGACAATACTGACTAATTGTCACTGCACTGATCCATTCAGTTTCACTGGATATGTGTCTGAATACATTCATTAATCGCTTTTTTTTTTGTCAAAGAATTGCTCTGAAAAGAGAAGACGCAGTTTCTAGAGAAGTACTTAAGAAACTTACTGATGCTGATAATAAAAAGATGTCTCGCAAAGAAAAAGATGAGAGGTATATTTTGCTTTATTTATTGACTTTGACAATTTGTTTTTCTTGTTTTTTCATTTCACATGTGCCAAATTGTCTCTCCACATTGAATCACTCCCATAATTTATCTTGGTGCTTTTAGAAAAACTATTTTTCACTTTCCAGCCATTTTCAAATGGCAAGGTCTGTTATCATAATATTTTTTGGTAAAATTTACTTGTAAAGCTGATTCAGTCAAAAAAATCACTCTGTAAGAAAGAAGTGGTTTTCTATGGGGGGAAAAAAAACATGGCTTTACCTAAAAGTCTCTCAGTTCACCTGAAAGACCTTTCCCACAGGAAACTGTGAGGGCTCCTGACTTCTGAATAGGCTCGATTGGAATGATGGGGAGATCCAAACACTAGATCTCTAAGTTCTTGGTTTAAAACTACACACTCACACTCTTTGTATTAATACTTTATTTATCATTAGAATACTATGGCAGAAGAATGAAGTTGCTGATTATGAAGCCACCACCTTCTCTATATTTTATAATAATGCTTTGTATCTATTCCTCATCATCCTGGCGTCATTCTTCTTCCTCAAGTCGTTCAACCCAACTTTGTATCCTTTTATAAGCATAGTATTTGTGTTAGCATGCTTGCTGCAGTCATTTGAGATTGTCAGTACACATCACTATATTTGGAACTGCTATAATTTTGCAGGAGACTAAATGCCATAATATTGTGGTCGTGAAAATGTCACTATTATAAAAAGGTTTCTGGTATTCATTAGACGATTGTGTGCAAGCGCTACAGTTATATTTCTAAAATTTACTCGTTTATCAAAATGCGCAAACTTATTTCTTTAAATCATAATCTGCAACTGATTTGTTTGTTTTTTAATATTGCGAGTTGACCATTGAATAGTTGATAATTATGTTTGAAAAGTGATTTCACTTACCCCAAACATGAAGAGACTTTTCTTCAGAATGGCCAAGTTTATAGTTAAGGAATTTTCGATAAATCCAATATGGCTTCCTGAAAGCATTCAACTATTAAACTGACAGACACACACTGCTTTCTCAAAGTTTGATTACTTTGAACCCCAATCATTATTTGTGATTAGAATGCACCATTTAAGTTGTTTACCATTTATACAAAATTGGTAGTGATAAATTTGAGGCGAGTAGCTGAGCTTTGTACAGCACTGTAATGTACAGTAATGCTCTGTTGTATTTGGTGATACATACTTCACATTTCACAGTTTATTCTCTTTTTCTTAACATATTATTTCTAGTAATTATGTATTATCAGTTGCCATGGCTGGAGGTTTATTGGCGTTGTTCTCAACTGGTACAAAGTAGATGACCTGAAACGCGTCGAGACGAGTGCACAACAGATACTGATATGGTTTGAAATAAAGTTAAATAATGAATGAAATTCAGATTTTTTTTATTCAGTCTGTCATTCTATGTAACAGAATAAAGGCTTGATATTAATTTTTGTTGTATGTTTCCATTGTTTTGTATCTAACCCATTATTTCCCCACTATACTCAAAAACACTGACATGGCATATTATTGGAATAACATAAAATTAACAAGGCCAGCAAAGCAACCATTGTGTTATATAACAGTACGGTTCTAGAACATTCTCAGTGACACGGAAGTGGTAAATAAGTCGTATGCGACAGAGCTTGTGTGAAGTTAAAATGAGGTCTGAGCAACACTATGAAATTCTTAGTGAGAGGTGGTTTCATTTCGATAATACCTGACTTTTTCTCATTAGTTGTGATGTGTAATCTATTCTGTGCAATGTAGTCATAATTATGCATATTGTTTAATTTAAAAAAAAAATACATCGCACAATATTGTCTTTGCATTGGTCAATTGTGTAAACAACAAATTTCTACTTTCTGTTGCCAGGAGGCGCTCTTGACAGTTGATTATTTTGCAAACCAATGCAAGTTTGTTGCCCGGTAGCCAAATTGTTTTGCATCTCAAAAATACACTATCCAATTGCATCTAAACCTGATTCACGGATAATTGTATTCTAGCACATCAGCAGAAGTTGGAGTGTTACAATACTAACAAAGATGAGCGAAAATGCAACCATTTGGTTTTACATTTTACCAATATACAAATTAGGACTTGAATGTCAAATTGTCTGGCAGTGCATTGTGTTCCTCTGAACTTTAATTCTGACATTTGATTTGTCTTGTATAAAGTGACATTCTCAATGGCTTGTTCGCTACCTTTAAAATACTCTAAATCCAGCAAGAAAAGTTTGTTTCACAATTCTGAAATAAATATATGGTCACCAAACTAAGTTTATCACAAAACCACTTGAAAAAATGATAAAAAAAATGCATTTTTTGACAAATTTACAATTTCTTTCTATGGCAGAAAAAAATCAATCTAATCTCATGACAAATGGGAGAATATTAGTTTGAATTATTTATGGAATGTGTTTAAATGGAATGTTTTTGGAAAATTTACCAAAATGGCCGATTTTTAGATTTTCTTGCATATGATTTATTGTGATCAATTTTTTTCATGTATCAATAGTAGCAAACTTTGAATAGTTGTGGAGATGTCATTTCGGCTAGCCTTGCTTTTAAAAAGTTTGACATTTTTAGAGGTCATATTATTTAACTCCAATCAGCAACCATTTTATTTAGGAACGTTTAAACATCTTTTGTAAGCTCTGACTTAATGGAAGACCTGTTCCAATGATTGTCAAACTTGAAGCAAAGTTTAAAATTAAATTAGGCTTTATCATTGTGTGAAATTACCGGTACAATAACAAGATGTGTAATATATGCAGCCCATTTTTTTTAAATATAACTTTGTACTGTGACCACACATCAGAATATTGTTCACTGTTAAGCAATACATCTCAGATAAGACATTTATACCAACTTTCTTGAGAATTGCAACTTAATCCAGGCAGTACATATTCTTTGGGCGACTTGCAGAATTCTACAGAGAAATAAGACCTTTAACCTGCCAGCCCCATGTACTGTAAAATACTTTATTTTAGCTGGAATTAATTTCCACTGAATAGACTGTTTGGACGATTGGTCCTCCTCATTTTAGATTTCCAAAATTTGTGTACCAGACAAATCAAATATTGTAGCTGATGCAGCGCCCTCTATTGGTGTTCGAACAAAGTTTTTTCGGATTTGCCTTAATTTGTAATGTAATGAATGCTTCGTCCACGTTTTTTTTCGTCCAGGCTGATTGCTTTGTCCTATTATTCCCTATTCGGTTATTTTTGTGCCATTATTTCCAAATCATTTAAATAACTATATCACTTTCAACGAAATTACTAAAACATGTTGAAAAAGCGACATGCAATTTTAGTGAATTGTGGTAAAATGACGTAATAGCGAAATGTTGATTTAGCGAACTCTCTTGTCATTGTTGATTTCCTGTTTTCACAATGCTTGTCTGTCGCTTGCCAAAACGCACAGTTATCACCTCCATAAAAACAAAGAAAAACTGTCCAGTGTAATTAGGAAGCGCCCCAGATTTTTATGTTCCGGATTACTCCCCAAGCCTTGGCCATTTTGAATTTACAATAAAGTCATTAGCGTCATCTTGAATTAGCGAATCAGTTCTCTCGCTAAATTCGCTAAAAAGACATGTTTTACAGTATGTTAGTACATGTATAAAAACAACTGCGCACGAAATGTTCATCCACCTTTGTATGGTTCATGCATTGTATCCTGAGCAGAAACTTTATCTGGACATTAACATGTAATGTCATGTTCGCGTATGCATGTTTGTTTTTGTTTAACGATTATATTTTACTGCCCTGCGTATAACTGTGTTATAAGATACCAGGTGCTCCATCCGAGTTTATTAATTGTACAGTCCTTCTATAGACTTCATTTTAGAGGCTAATTTGTGAAAGTTATGTACTAAAACTAATTGCGATGTGTTTAGTGTTGCTTGTTCGAAATTTAAAAGATTTTGAAGAATTTCCAAATTTGTTTTCGTAAAAGAACAATTTTATTTTTGCAAACTTGCCGTTACATTTCTTATCGCGTGTAAACACTCCTAACTTAATATACAGTGATAATTACAACCCATGTTTATATTAAAAGCGGTAGACATCATGATGTGAAGAACATGTGGTAATTTATATATTCATAAATTCTGAAGTTTCTGTTCTCGTTACCAGCAAACATAGGCACATATGATAAAAGAAAAAGCGGAACACACGAGTGTTTCCTGATATGCCGATAACAATAAACAGGAAGTCTGTAATCGTTGTTTGGTTTTAGTACATTTCCTCAAATACCATAGGTCCATGCCCTCTGTGGCTTGAGTTAAGAAAAGTAAAACAAAGCAAGAATATGTTGTTTAATTTTTATTAAAAGAAGAAAACCGGGCAAACAACATAAGGATCTCAGATAAAATGGCTCATACACAACTTAATGAAGAAGTATGCAATTTAGAGTTTTTTTTTTTTTATAAATGTATAACTTTTCATTCACTAGATAGTCAACTTCATCAATAGTATGTAGTCCTGATTCTCCAGCAAATGATAATGTGTAAAGTATGACGTCATAGGAACTTTTGTAGAAAAATGAGAAAGTGATTACCCTGCAATGTGGTAGCATTTTGTGAAACTGTACAGTTGCGTATAACTGTCTCTCCGGTAAAAACATCATTGAATTTAGAAATCGAATAACAGGACATTGTATAGTAACCGCCAACATATGAAGTAAAGCAAGGAAATAACACCGAATACACAATTTTAGAACCTTTTTTATCACGACATTGATTCACTGTTTAGTAGTAAAACCTCAGTTTTAGCTCACTGTGGATCACTCCTAACTCACGACTAAAAACACGTGGATCATATTTGTAGATATATACACGCTGTTGATGGCATGCTTGATTCAGTGGGCGGTTATTTGTCTGATATTTGTACATGGTGTACATCACGTATATGGTGTTCTCTGTCGAAATTTTTCTATGGATGTTATTTATATATTATGTGCTTAAAAAGTAGTTTATGAGTGATTATACATATTTACGTAGTTAACCTGATTTGTTCTTACTTCCCCTTGTTGGCTACACATTATCCATACATACCCACCTTGTTGTGAAATACATACAGATCGAAATGTTATCAATGCGAATTAGTATACTCATCTTTGTAAGTTTTAAATGTAACCACGTGTGGACTTACTATTATACTTTATAGATCCATGGCCACATGGACATCAATTTTCTATTAACGCTTTGCAGTACATTCTAAATACTCTACGTTTGTATTTTAAGATCAATATTGAATAATGGCGAGTTCTCCGGGGAGCTCATCTACTTCAGGTATAAATACGGAAAGCTACTGCAGTCCAACATCACACAGGTAGACATTTCAATTTCCGCCTTGTGTATATGCTTCGAATCAATAGGAAACACGATGACGATACAAATATGGGTTCAACATCCGATGATATCAATTCATGATTATCATAATAATATATTTTCCCATTTATACAGAGATATTAGCGATTAGTAATGTGTTTTCTCCCATTCATTCGGCACATACAGGTCCATATTTTAAACTGTACTCGACTTTTATAAATTCAATGTTGCCTAATTTTGTCCTTGGTTAAAATAGAGATTGTTAATACGTTAAAAACATCCTAAAGCTTTTACTCAGAATACAGGAAACGTGATCTCAGGAACTTAAAATGGAACTTAGTAGTAATTCACAAGTTGTTTATTTTTGGACTGTCTGGTAAATAATACCGTAATACAATATACTCGCCATAATGGCACAGTGGAAATGGCCTAGGCGGTAATAATGGCACATTGTCGTGTGTAAAAAGACAGGATCCGACAAATAAAACTAAGGACTGTGTTTATTTATTTTTCTCTCCAATCATTTTGTAGTTGGAAATATGTAGTGTTTGAACACTTTTAAATGGCGGCAGTCGTCGCGCCACGTCCTGTTCGATATGGGACTCATAGCGACGTATACAACGCGTGTAAAATACATTGTTTATTTAAATTACATTCGAACACGCGCTGCGCGACGACCACCACGCTTTAATAAACCCTGTCAAGACTGTTTTCAAAGTTCTATGTTGTGACATGCGATTTTAATAAATATATAAACACGTGCTTGAAACGTGCAAATTGTTATTAAAGATTAATGAACATTTGTATTTGTAACTTTCGTGTTATGAGTACAAGATGTAATCGATAACAAAACATGCGTGAAAGCTCCGCGTCCGAAAAGAACCCGACGGAAAATGGTCGCAAAAACTTTCGTTACCGAAAAGGTTGTGTTTTTCGTCCTAGAAAGATTTGAAAATTATGCGGTGACGATTTTTTTAAAAATTGCGAGTAATTAATGCTACTAGTACAACAAGAATATGTTTTCAACGTTTGCTGTCATATTTATTAAATAATGCGTCCCAATACAACGGTTGATATAGGTATCGACAAAACGTTCTCTGAATCGGAAAACTATCACCCCACCCCCATTCTACCATATTTGACGCTATTTACGCACTGTTGCAGAAAAAGAATGCGCGAGGCGCAGGCTTCAAACTGGTGTGCAAGATGACGAGAAGCAACCCCCTTTTTGTTGGCCTTGATCATTAAAAGTGTAAAATACCACAGTGTCAGAAAAATATATCCAACTATACCCCCCTCCCTCTAAAAGGAAACACAGTTCATGTCTTGGCATAATCAAGACAGGGTGTCATTATTACCGCCACTATCATGTCATTATTTCCTGGATTCACATTTTTTTTGGGATTCATATTTGTATGTATTATAGTAACAATGATGAAATAGAGTGACATGATGGATCACCTTATTGTGACAAGAGCCAGTGAAGTTTTCATTCGCATATTTCGGCCATAGTTTTGGCGTTGATTGCATTGTTCGGCCCGCATAGCTTCGCTAAAGCTTACCATCCATGACCGTGTCAAGTGAAGGCAAATAAATGAACTCTGACTGGCGAAGATGCTATGCATGGAGCTATATCATTTATCCCGCTATTTTTAATTTTAATTTTTAAAATAAAGCGATTTTACTCAAAAACAAAACAAAAACATTGTCACAATACGTAGAATGTTTATCCATAATGTGGGAGTATATCAAACGACGAGAAAAATATCCGGCATTTATACAAAATGAAACCAAGGGTGTGTATATGGATTATCATCGACGTTTTATTGATGGGGTGACACTGTTAGTACTCTTATTTATATCATGGAAGGTACCTTTCATGTTTATGTGTAACAGACATTTCAGGTCGTAATTTTGAAAAAGACCTCCGCCTGGCCGCACAATTTGTAAATGCAATAATGTAAACCATTTTCCACCAATCATCAGATATTTTCATAAATGTGCCTTTATTGTTACACAATCGAGAATAAAAAGAGTATGGTCACCGAACTACTAGTATTAGTAATTTTCGTACCAAAATAGGTCAACCATCCACGAAAAGCCAATTGTGAAATTGTCTATCTATTTCTCTAAATTGTGTTAGGTAATATGACAATGTACCAAATGAAAGGCAGTTATATGGATGGGTACTGCCGGTACTATGGTCGTTGTGAATAACTAGAAACCCCGGAATAATGACGCATTAATTCCTATATAAATAGTACCAACATTGTCAATTTTAGCATTTATTTAGAAATACATGTGTATTCCAAAGTTGTCAAAATTAATAAAATCTATTATTTTGAAACCAAAAAGCATGCCACTTTTACTAATACATTTATTATGTACTTGCACGAGGTTCGATGTCCTTTTAACGGAACCAGTTGAAGAGTAGAGATTTTTCGAACACATGTCAAAAGCATCTTTGGTTTGAGTGTTCATGAAAACGTCACGTGTAATGTGATATTTATAAGCTTCGTTGAGAAACGTGCGACAATAATTCACAACTACAATATTGACAGCGATATAGAATAAAACGTGTTTCCCAAGTAAAAGACCTCGGACCATTCTCACAGCCAAATTTAATTCGGTCACCCATATTAATTGTATTAAACGCGTTCAGAATACTTGACTTGATTCTAGACAACTAGTCTGAGGCTTGATCAAACGAACATGCATACAAGTCAACAGTTCCCCCTGTCTAATATTTAGTTTGTTCCAGTCGCACGTCAAAAGCCAACTGAAATATTGTTCTAAAATCTGGTCGAGGCATCAGATCTACCTGTCAACAATACAAAAGTATCGGAGAAAACTTCTTAATTTCTTGATGCAGTTTTTATTCATAAATGTCTTAATTACATCATAGATCATTTCCAAAATCGCACATTTCGTATTTGTTTTACCCTTTTAAACTACCTCGCTATCGTGAACATATACGGAAATTTTCTATTGTGCCTCGGCGCCTTGACTTTAAAAAAAAAATGTAACAACTCTGATAATTTAGATATTATTAATAGTTTACCATTTTGTAACAGGTGCTGTTTAAACTCCAAACTTTTATAAAAAATATAATATTGTATTTATTTCATATTTTATTGTTTTTATTTTGTACATAATGCATTTTTTCGAGTGCCGTAATTGGGGGAATCTTGTAGGCGTCTCCACTCAAAGGGGCCACTCAAAGGACCGCGGTACCGAATGAATAGTACGCTCGTGCAGCTAAGATCTCTCTTTCATTGGTACATCAAGTAATTTGAGATTTTTTTTTCAAAATTTACTAAATATTCCAAGATGAATTAGTAAAAATTACATCATGAAAATTGATGTATAAATGTTTGCTATTTAATGTTTTCGGTTCTCGATTACTGATAATCAACAAATCCAGAGAGCGCCCAGTAACAGTTTTACGTGTAATACCAAAGGGTCCAACAATGTTGGCTCAAGTTACCCATAGCATAGCCACTGAATTTAAAATAACTTTAAATGTATGGATGTGAGCTGCATTATAAAAAATAAGTAGCAATTTCCGCGAAAAAACAATGCATGCCAGCCGTTTTTTTAAATCAATTACCATTGCAGTTGTTGTTGTTTTGTTATGTTTTACTAGTATTTCACGTCGCAAGACACTTTCTAAGTGCAAGTTATTTATATTGTCATATTGCAATGTTTACCCACAACTCAGTTAAGGGCGCTAATGAAAAACGAGAAATGAACCCAAAAATTGCAATTAAATAATTGTTTAGGGTTTTATTTGGCTGTAACAGGTGGAATTTTGATCGCAGTCCCTTCCCCACCCTATAGGGAAAATTAATTTATATGCAACTCCAAACATTTGTATAGGCACTTAAACTACTATTATGGGATAGCAGATGAAATATTATGGGATGGGCCCTGGGGCCAATGACGTCATACTGCGCATGTGCAGAATTCGTCTTTCCACCCTTTTGTCGTGGGGGGTGAAATCACCGTCGCCATTATCTACACTCCCGACTATCGGAGGCATTACGCGCCTGAAAAATCCTGAAAAAATATTAGGTTTAGGCGCGGAGTTCGCGCCATTTATATTCTTGGCAGCTACTTCTTTAATTGAAGAATGCCGGGAGAAGAAAAGAAAGACAAAGATTCGTCGGCAGACGACACAGAAGTCGCTGAACCCGTGGAAGGTGAGAGAAGGAAAAAAAGTGTTTTGTCGGTGTGAATTCTTCTTTGTCTGTCTGTGCATTTTTATCGGCGATTTAAAGTCGAGAACTGATATTTGAAGACGTACATTTTTTCTCTACGTTCATCGAATATTATTTTTGTGTCACATAGCTCCGAAAACTTTGTTTTGGTTGGATGTCGAAGCCGGCTAAACGTATCTTGCTTGTTCATTGTTTATGAATGGCCTTTCCACATGGACGGCCGAAGCGCCGTGCCCGACTATGGCTGACGCCAACCATGTGTGGCCGAAAACGTTGAGTCTGCCGCTAAAATTACGTCCTTTCTTAATTAACATGTGCGAAACAGTAGTTTTCCATACTGTGATTGCCTGTGAATCGACTGAATTTGAAAATGCTGCGTTTCACAGCGCAGTCTGGCAGTGAGAAAACGTGAGAATTATTCTGTTCTACGTAGCATTTATTATTATGCAGATTAGCCTGTCTCTTGTAAATCGGTCAGTCCCACTTCCCTATGGTGATAAACGTTGGCCATCATTATAATTCTTGGCATTATAACGGTGACAATGACATAAATTATTGACGAATATTGCATTTACTGGAATAATTGTATCTTCCATTTGAAAAAAAAAACTGTTTTTTTATTTTTGTACTTGCTGTAAATCAGAGCTTAAATAAAAATTAAATATTTGAGTGTGATAAAAAAACTAATAATGATGATTATAAGCAATAATTTCATAAATTTATTTGTAGGTTAGATGGATTCATGTAATTGTTAGTATATATATTTTTTCAGCTATCTTATAAAATCATGACTTGATTTAATTTTTTTTAATTGTTTTATCTCAAATTAAAAAAATTCCCAGTGTAACTAAAAATAGTTGTAAATCATAAATATAGCTTCGTAAAAAAAGAGAATGGTGCTCTTACATGTATTTGTATGTTTTTTTAAAAATGTTTTTATTACTTTTTTCATTTGGTGCATTAGTTTTTTGTAATTTGTATATTTTTGTATATTTTTACTTGCATGCATGTACTGAGATTGAAGCTATTCCCATATGTTTGGATATCTGCTAGACCCAGTTTACAATCTAATTTACTAAAAATACAAAAATTTCCAAATTTAATTTCGCAGTGCAATAACCTGGAAGGTATACATTTTAGCTTTATTATTATAATACATCTATGCAAATACAGAAAGTGCAAGTTGCAGTGGAACAGGAAGACTCGGCCACTTGAACAAAGTCCCTGGATGCACTCATGTCAGAACTAACAGTTATAAATATGATAATAGTTAATCTTTCAAATATAAACAATGCTTATAATGGTATTTTGGTATTTTATTTTCAAACGTCATTCTATAGCGCTTAGTCCGATAGTCCCTGGTCAGTGGATCTTCAAAATTGGTATGTAGGCAAATTTACCTGCAGACAAAACAATCCCAAACAAAACACCTCTTTTGCATATGATTTGTACAGTGTAATGGTATGAGTTGAGCTTTTTGTAGTTGTAAATATTTATAATACTTATATTTATTTACTAGTGTGTTTCAAGTAAGTAAATATAATTAGGCTATATATATAATTGTAGTTAGTGTATAATATAAATATGGCCAACCTCGTAATGTTCAAGTTATTAGTAAATAAGACAAGTATAACGACATAACATTCAAAGAATCTTGGTTTATATATGATGACCTCATTTATGTAAAATGTATTTTGTGTATTAATACTTGATTGAAAAAAAGTTAACATGAAAGCTCTGATTATGAAGAACAATGTATCGGTACTTCAGATGGTTAAAGCAATCATAGTCTATCTTTCTCCAGGGTTCTCCAAAGAAATTTTAATCATCATGACTGTAACAATGTGCACACTAATTTACACATCATTCCGTGGTTAGCATGCCCATTAAAACATGCACATAATAAAGAGAAATAAACCATTGTGACTGGTAATGAGTGTCTGTAAGGCCAGTGTTATTGTAAAACAAAGCATGGTACTGCCATGCTGTTCGTATCATTCACTGAATCTCACAACAACCTGTTTTTACCTCATTCCAGGCATTCTCAGACCAGATGCCTATTATTGTGGAATGTGAACATGTTTTATTTGTTATTTATTGTCAGTAGCGCATCTGGTGAAAGTCTATGAGGCTGAATATAAAACAGGACTTAACTGTTAGAGTGGCAGTGCACCAATTTTCAAGGCCAACATTTATAAAATGGTACTATTAGCACATAGGAATAGCATAGATTATCAAAGGGAACAGATTTATTAGGCTCAAGGCAATGTACATTGTGGAGTTCAAACTCTGTAACAATTCTCATTGTGAATAATTTGCATATATCGTTTTCACTGTTCTTGTTGAACACTAAAAAGGGATTGATTGATCCCTGTCTAGAGTGATTATGCTACATTTGGGAGTCCAAAGCCATTGGCAACTTTATTGCGTTTACAAGGGTCACTGAAGTGTCTAGGAAAGTGTATGGGGGTGTTTGGTGTATGAAATATTTTGCGGCCACTGTAAGGTTGACACCAGGATAGCACAATAAATTTTCATAATTCCATTATGATAGGAAGATAGTCACGCATCCATGTCTGTCTTAAACATGGATTATAGTGTCTGTGGCAAAAACATTGCTTGAACATCATGAAGGCTTCAAAGGCTGTTCCTGCCTAGTGACTTTGCCATGATATCTTTAGTATTTCCTGTGTTATTAAAGGCATTTTTATAAATTTTGGCCTTGAAAATGGGTGCCCTCTCAACTCCAAAGTTCAAGCCTTGTGAAATACACTTGAACATTCAAAACTTTTGTCTGGCACAAACATTATATATACATGTATTTTCAGCCAGGCATAAAATGTGTAATTATTTCGTAGGGTTGTCTGATGAAGAGGATGATCAGGAGGCTGAACTGGAACCAGAACCAGAAGAAGAAGCAGATGTTGAGCTGGAGCCAGAACAGGAGCTAGACCTGGAAGCAGAAGGAGGGGCAGAAGAGGAGGAAGGAGACGAGGAAGAAGAGGAAGAACCAGTTTTAGTAGCAGAGCCTGAACCTGATCAACAAGAAGAGGAATCAGTTGATTTAGATACATCATCAGAAATAATAGTAGAACTGCCTCCTCCCCTGGAACCAAAACCCAAGAAGAAGAAGGGTAAAAAAGATGGAAAGAAAAAGGATGGGAAAGGAAAGAAGCGAAAGAGAGAGAAGCAAATTGTAGTAAGTCATCCAGTGGCTTTATATTTCTTTTTTGTGTATACACATCATTGGTATAAAAATAATACTTAATTTGACTAGGGTAACCAGTGTTCTCCACTGGAAAATAGATAGCATAAACATATCCTGTATGTAATGCTCTTGGATGAGAACCCTGAAAATGTCTAGGGAGACTTAAAATAATTATAAAATATTTACCCAGAGAAATTTGTCTATTTTTATTATTTGATGGCATTAATGGCGATAATAGCTTCATGAAAGTCAGAATAACCAAGACAAAAAACCCAAGTGGAATTTTCACAGCTATAAAACAACAAATATTTTTCTAATATTTTTTTTTTTAAATACTGCAATTTTCTCTGATGTAAAACAAATTTTACATGTTATTACAGTATTATATTCTACTACTGAATTTACACGCATGTAAACACGCTGATTTTTGCATATGCTAATTTGTATGGAGCTGTTACAGCTGTGGAGAATAATGCTCTGTAGCCAGGTTTAATCTAAACTGAATATCCAACAATTACAGGATGATGCAGATGACCTTATGAGTGAGTTTGTAGAGGAAGTCAAACCAAAGAAAAAGAAGAGGGAGAAAAAAGACAAGGATGAGAAGTCAAAGGTAAAATCAGTGCAGGTTTTTAAGCCCCTCCCTCTCCAAATATTTTGTGATGAAGGTAATATATAATGTGTCAATTGATGACGTGTTGAATTATACTTCTGATCCCAAGTTATTACACCAGGTGCCAAAATAAACTAATCATGAAAACTTCTATAGGCTTCATATTAAATAAATTATTGATTTTTAGATCACCATCATTTGAATAAACAGTAAACAATAATCATCAAAGTGGGAGATTAACATGTCTGGCTACAAAAAAAATGCCTTTCAGTCAGTTTCCATTACTGGCACACACTCGAACGTTAGACATACTTTCTTGCCCTGATCCACTACATAAAAAACTTTGCTCAATCCATGATAATATCTAAATTACCTCTACCATCATCCAATTTCAACGGCCTGTTGTATTTCCGCATATAAAATACATTTATCTTGTATCCTTAAAATAATAATGTGATTACTGCACACAGGTTTTTTTTCATTTATTGAACAACTTCACAGGAGAGATCTCACCTTTTCTTTTCTACTGATTGTGTTTGGCATGATCTGAATAATGTTATTTTTGCATGTATTTGGATGAAAAAGTAGTATAGATATTGTTGTTGCATTCCTATTATGTACGATTTGAAAAAAACTTCCTATGAACTCCTATAAAGATTCTAGGCTTTTGATTCTGTGCAGTTTACAAGAAATCTTATCTAACAGCAGTCCTAAAAAATAGTAATGTAATCATGTCCTTGCGAAATTACAACAATTTTATCCTTTTTCATGGTGTTTTTATGGAATATATTCAGCATTTGTTGAGGTTTACACAGTTACCAGTGCTGAATATGATTATAATTCTTTTCTGCAATTTGTTGTACCACTGTTCTATCAACTTTAAATAACCTTTATAGCCTGAATGGAGTGGAAGCTGTGAGCCTGCAGACTGTTATCAGAGTCTGGGCTAAGCATGTCTGCAATGTGTGGTTTATCCACACCTTTTACCTCAATGGAATCTTGAAATGGAATGAAGACCAGATGGACTGAAAACTCTTGCTGAGCTAGTTATCATTCAGCAATTTGCATGTCTTGGTCCCACCCAGTTTCCCAAGTCATCTGTATGCTCTTCCATCCAAACTGCTCTTCAATCCTGCCTTAAACTAAAAAGCATCTACCCATATTGCTTGTGCTACAGTATTTGTTCTATTAGTATTAGCATGCGCTTTCATAAATTACAGTCAAATATTTTAATCTTTCAGTACACAACACACCAAATTTTTTGAGCACATATCCCCAGTATATCCCTAATTATTCTATCCTCATTAGCTCAGTCATTATAATAACAAATCATTGCTAGTATTCTCTTCAGCAAAGTACTAGCACTCAATCATCATGACTAAATTGCGTATATGAGAAGGAATCCTTTACTAATTTTCCTCGTATTTTTTTGAAAGTCAAAGTATAGTGGCTACTATTGCAGATGGAGAAATATTTTCTGTGTTTAGTTTCAGCACATTTGATGTTGCATTCACTGATTCGTGAAGGAAACAATGCATTCATTTTGAGAACTTTCTCCTGCACGAAAATTGATTATTATAGTTAACTATTAATATTGACAGGGTTTTAATTAAGCTCATTTTGTTATCAGAAAAATGGGCAAAAATAAAACCTGGTTAGTATTTAAAATTCAGTATGTTTGAAAGCCTCTGGGGAAAACCTCGCAAGCCATCTTATGTCCTCCCCTCTATTCCCTACCCTGATAGCAATATATAATAATTGCATGTGCATAAAAATGGCTTGCTTTGCTGTAAGAATTTTGTCTTGAAATATATGCCTTAATCAATCAGGAGCCGAAAGAGCAGAAAACTCCATCAGAGCTGTTTGCAGAGTATGGATTGGAAGAAGTACAATTTGAGTACAACGAGGAAGATTTTCAAACCCTTCTTACTTACAAATTGTATTGTGCACATATACGTCCAATGATTGCTGAGCAGCATCCAAAACTTCCACCGACAAAGATGATGACAGTGTTAGGTGCATTATGGAGAGAGTTCCAGTGCATAGCTAACGCTAGTCGGGCTGAGGAAAGTATAAGTGAGAAGCCAAAGAAAGAGAGTATGTGTAAATATCTTTTGCTAGTTGTTTATTTTTTGCTCGCATTACACACATATACACAAGCTAGATGGAAGTTTATATTTACTAAAGTATAAGTAAGGCAAGTTTCTGAATTTTCATTCAGTATCAAAATTTATTAGCACATTTGTCGCCTGTGTGTGTCAGTTTTTATATTTAAAACTTCACAAAAATGGAGCAAATCAGGTCTAGGATTATGAGGAACCAAGGTTGTTGAACTAATATATCCAAAAACTGTTTTATTTTGAAATTTAATCCTGTGCTTGCCAGTGTCAAGTTTTTGCTATTTGCAAAATAATCAGACATAATTATCATATTTTTCAATCCAGATCTGTGGCAAAATTTGAAATTATCCAAAATTGATATAAATAAACAAAATCATAAAGGAAGTGTGCGAAATGTTGAGCCTCTTGAAAGACAGTGTATTCAAATCACTAGCAGATTCAGATAGTGTATTGTAAATTGAAAACTCTTGCTTCTCAGTAAATATGAACTGACACGTTTTTACACTATATAGGTGTTGGTATCCACTACTTCTGTTCACACATTGCATGTGGCTGGTACTTCTTTCTGGTTAACAACCTGGCCTAGTTAAGTTAGTAAGCAAATATAATTAGGTGTTTTGTTAATACTAACTGTCATAGGTACATTGTTTAACCATACATTGATACATTAAGTAAATGGTTCTCTTATACATGTTTGGGCTGTCATTTTGCTAGTACTTGGTATGAACTGTATCAATAATTGATGAAGTGCTGTTGTACTAGCTTTCTGTTCATGTTACTAAGTGGTATTAAAATTATAAAAAAAAAGTTGAATGTTGCATTCTCTGTGTTCAGACCAGAAATTGAACTTTAGTTTTCTTACGACTAATGGCTAAAACTTTATTAGACTAATTGAGATGGAAAGAATTATTTGGAAGAGGTGTTTGGTAAATGGCTCCGTAAATTTCGAATCAAAGCAGAAAAAAAACAAAAACTTTTCAACAAACAAGCTGCTCTGTTATTGGTGGGTAGCCAACAGGCATAATAGGCATAAACAGGCATAGTAGTTTCAGGGTTCTTTTATTTCAGGGTGTGTGGTTCATAGTTCTTTTTGATAAGCTAGTCTATGGCTAAGGGGCATGTTTTTAAACAGGTTTGACTCTACTAAGTTCACCATCTATTAGGATTTTTTCAATATTCAGAACTATAAAAATAACAAAAAGTAGTACTGTTATGTAGACTTAATTTCTTTAAATTAATGGATCCCATCAGCTAAATAGACTACTATAAAAGGTACATTTTCCTAATTCACGAAAATGCATCTCACGCATTTGAAATTTTGGGCATAAATATTAGTCAGGTACACATAGCTATATACACAGTCTTGATTTGTAGAGTTTCCTCTGACAATACATAAATCTTTGCAGGCAAAGTCAAAATAGGAACTGGTGCTCAGAGGAAGAAGCCAAAAAAGAAACCAGCACCCAAGAAAATAGCTCCTCTAAAGATTAGAGTTGGTGGATTTAAAAGAAAAAGGAGAGGTTCAACTGTAAGTATGTCAATCAATGCACTGTTCAGGGTCAGTTTTATTAATAATGGATAATTCTTAACTCCAGTAGACCATCATTGTTCATGATACTTGATTTCTAGGGAAAAAGACAAGTGTCTTCATAAACTACTGTAAAATCTGTATTAGAAACTGCGGTTTCTATTAAAATGGTAAAATGCAACAAAGGAGATGCGGTTTCTATTAGAACATCTACACAAATGAGAAATTGTGATTTTTTTCGTTCTCAATTGTTTAAAAAAAAATGGGTGCGACTTCTATAAGGGATACAGCTTCTTATACAGATTTTACGGTACTATGCACAGCACTGTTCTTATGTTGATCCATTAAACCCCATGAAAACATACTTTTTTGCAATTTTTTTTCCAAAAATTGTAATCATTACTTTGTATGTAACTGAAAACTTTTTCCATTTGGTCCAAAATTAACAGGTTATTGGAAAACAAATTGTGGCAACATTTTGTCTGGGGAAATGATAGTGTTCAAATACTGTGGAATACTTTAGTTTTGCTGGAATTAATTTTCGCTGAAAAGGCTTTTTGGGCGTTTTGCTTGGAATTTATTTTCACTGATTTTTCATGAGTTTAATGTGAAATATAGGAAAAAAGTATATTCGCTGGATTTTATTTTCACGGAATCATCTCTTCAGCGAAAATAGCGAAAATAAAGTATTCTACAGTAGTTAAAAGTACTCGAGTGATTTGTAAAGGTCAGCAGTGGCTTGTTACACATAATGATCCCTTCTATCCTTAGGGGGGAAATTTTAATTTCTATGGAAACCAAGATCATGTGATTTGTTCAGTCATTATAAACAACCTGTACCATCAGGTATTAAAATCATTGGGTGTACACTGCACTACCCACGTTTTGTGTTTAATCTTGACAATGACTTAATAATATTATACATCTGTCATCGTAATGCCATAAGTTACAGCGTGCCGTAATTTTGCGATATATTACGGGGTATTTTCATACTATCATATTAAGAAATGCTAATTCCAAATATGGAATAATTATGCGCGTAAGCGTCCTCTAATAATAAAAACAAACATGGCTGCCACCAGGATTTGACTGGACTCCATACAAAGAAGTTCGCTGATTCTGTTCTAAACTTTTTGGATTTCGGCATTCCCATGATGTATCCTTGGAAGGAAAAGATGTATAATAATAAGGTTATTACGAAGATACCTCAAAGTATACACTCGGACTACGCTGTCGCTGCGCGTTGGTCGATACTGCCGCTGTACTGTCTTCGTGCATACTTTGAGATATCTTCGTAATAACCTCATATTATACAAGACTTATGGTGCTTGAAAACAATAACATCATCAAACAAAGTGCATTAACCAACTGTGAACCAGTTAATTTTTGCTGCTAGCTATTTTCACAATACAATAATTTTATGGCTTGTGTGAAATTATTACTAACATGTTGGTTATGTTTTTCGACGACTCGCAATATTGAAGAAGTTTACGGTATTAGGTGCATGTTACATCGAGCTTGGTGCAGGTAAATGTTAACATGCACACTGTTATGCTGGTAGCAATAGATCATTTTCTATTCACTGTGAAATCTCATGGTATGTGTGAAATCAAATGTAAAAAATGGGTCATACAAAGGTCAAAACATCACACAAGATTTTAGGGGTATTTCCATGACTAATAATGTGCTATACTGTACACATTGATGGTCACTTTTGATGGAATTTCATAGTCGTATTTTCTGAAAAATTGGTATTTCCACATTGAATCAATCAATCTGTGAGCCACACATCTGCATCTTTCACGCAATCTGCGAGATCTTGCATTAAACGAAAAAGCACCGATTTCAATCATGACCTATCTCAACGCTTATATTCTTTTAACATTCACAGAGTGAGAGTGATAGCAATTATAGCGATAATAAAGAAGAATCAGAGGATGACGAAAGCTTGAAATCAACCTCTGTATTATCAGATAGTTCTACAAGTCGGTTGTCAGCACCAAGAAAAGCTAAAAGTAAAGGACACAAGAAGAAGAAAAAGAAGCACCGTGATGATGCCACTGGATCAGATTCAAATGGTTATGAGGTAAAACTAATTTTGTTGTTTGAAGTTATTTCTCTAATTATCTATTCCTACTTTAGTTCAATAAACATCTTTGTAGTTTGTTGAGCAAACAAATTGGCTAACAAATTCATATTTCCACAATTGCACGCTATGTCGTTTGCAATATCAATGATTTTTTCCAACAGTATTTACTGTTCTAAATGTAATCTGGTTATGTTCGTCCTTGACAAATGATATCAAAAGATGTCCAGATTTTTGTTGCAGTATTTGTCTTTCTGCTGGGTTTTGCACACGTATTAACCTTTTCACTACCAGCTTCCTCTTTTCATCAAAAATTCACAAAATTGTCCCATTTATAGTCTGCACTTTCCTTCAGAAAATTGGAGCAAAATTATCCATTTTCTTTTGAGTGAAAAATGAAAATTGACTCAAATTTGTCTGTTGGCTTCAAAATTAGGGTTCATTTCCAGAAATATTGAATTTAAGAAAAAAAGGTGCAAACAAAATTTGGGTGAGAAAGTCTGGTGGGGGAAATGGTTAATATATTGAATGCCAATTTTATGAATATTTACTAGCGACTGGCAACAAGGTTTCTCTTGTCAGTGTTGAAGTATGAGATCATTCCATGCTTATTGGCCATAATTAGGTTTGAACTGCATGTGTGAACACAGAAATTGCCATGGGCTGTTTTCTTTATGATGACCATACATTGTTGCTGTGTTTTCAACAGACTGACCATCAGGACTACTGTGAAGTTTGCCAACAAGGTGGAGAAATCATTCTGTGTGACACGTGTCCTAGAGCTTACCATTTAATTTGCTTAGATCCAGAATTAGACCAAGCACCTGAAGGACATTGGAGCTGCCCCCATTGTGTAAGTTTTGATTGGCTACCCAATCCTAACACATAACTGTCAGACCAATCAGGGAGCAGCTTGTCTGTTTCAAGGTGTTTTTTCCATTAAATTCTGCCTTGTATATTTGCTTTGACTCAATTCAGCATTGCTTTATAATAGTAAAAAAAATTGCACTCTGGGGGCGATTTTGCCTTTTTTATTGCTATGCATAGTATACTTTGCAGTTTTTTAAAGATGGTCATCTGCTTTTATGTTAAGGAGTAATTGTTACATTTCACAGTGACCCATTGTTTAAAATATGATGTCTGTTTAATCGATAAACAACCCCACTTCTAGTTGGCAAGAGAAAGTAGGTACAGAGAACATTCTGGTCATTTTACACAAGTTTTTACATTTCTTTTGATGGGATCATGATTATTTTGTACTTTTATTTCCAGAATAGTAAAAGTAATCAATCACAAACTTTTGATTCAATTGCATGACCATGAGATGAAAGATGCAAGGTGTGAAAGAATCTATTACACAGTGACAATGACTTGTTCATTTTTAGCATGATGGTGAGGTGGTGGAGGAAGAGGAAGAAGATGATCAAGATGATGAACACATGGAGTTCTGTCGTGTTTGTAAAGATGGTGGAGAACTGTTATGCTGTGATCAGTGCCCATCAGCTTATCATATGCATTGTTTGAATCCACCATTGAGGGTCATCCCAGATGGTGAATGGGTCTGCCCAAGATGCTCTGTAAGTCTTTTATAGACAGATGGTCTTTATAATTATTAATTCTTGAATAAATTAGGACGGTATAAGGAAACTTATCAATTTATTAATAAAATGCCCGTCTAGATTAAATAGAAAGTGTCACACTATTTTGGCATTTACACACGAGTTTATTTGATCAAATTAATGCCAAAAGGGACGGTCACTTGACATATTATACAGAAGTGGTATTTATATAAAGGTTGATAATTAATTCCTGAATAAAAATTACAATATCTGCATTTAAGAATAATAATTCTCTGTTGAAGGATATTTAAACATTGAGGGGGGGGGGGTGATAATAAAAAGCTTGTTTATATTGATTGAATTAAAAAAAGTCATTGTAGGGGGTAATTGGTTATTACCCACAAGTTCATTTGACGGAATTGGCCACATTAGACATGTGGTCTTAATATACAGGTTATGGAAATCGCACCGAGACTACTCAAAAATGGTCACAATTGGGCAAGGTGGTTTTTATATATAACCTAATCTTGTCAGCTTATCATGTACTACCAACACATAATTGTCTTTCCTGTTTTGCTAATTTTCTCACTACTATATGTTACAGCTATAGTATGCTCTTGTGCTGAATAGTGTGTCTTCCATTTCTAGTGTGAGGCCCCCAAGGGCAGGGTTCAGAAGATTTTGACATGGAGATGGACAACTCCTGTTAACACAGATGCACTGGATCCAGAATGTGGAAGTCCAACTAAAAAAGAAAATAATGATGCTAAACCAACCAGAGAATTCTTCTGTAAATTTCATGCGATGTCGTATTGGCATTGTGATTGGGTATCGGAATTACAGGTAGGAGTTGTATGGATTAACTTACTATGTTGTATGCAGACATTGTATCACCTAGTTTCTTTAAGAAAAACATTTTAAATATACAGGCTGATTATTTATAGCTAGCAGCAGATTAAATTGCTCCTTTGTTCTGTTATTTTCATTGTCATTTTAGGGAAAAGATAAGAAAACTGTTATTGGCTGTCAATAGGGCATTGTAAAATAAATCAAATACCTCAAGTTTGACTCACTAACCCATGTGTATCTTGATTGATGTCTGTTCTTTGAGGTTATGCACTAAATACTACTGAAATGGTTAAAGACCATTCCGTTTTAGCAAATTTGACTGAATGCGTGAAGTAACAAAATTTTAATTTTAGTCGAGTACCAACATTCTCATTGTGAGAATATACTTAAATTCACTAGTTTAAATTACCCACCATGGACTCCGGTCAGTCAAATTGACTATTTTGAACTGTAGGCATTAATTTGCGATTCAGCCAATGACTGAGAAAGAAATCTAGGTCAGGGGAAGCCCCCTGACCTCAAGATTTCCCTTCACGTCACAAACCACCCGAGGCAATGAGCCGCTGCCATAATTGCTTTCCCAGTCACTTCTAATTTCAAATTAGCTACAACTTGAATTAGTGAAAATATACATTAGCTAAATTAACTAAAATAAATTAATTAAAATTACAGCTGTGGGTTGACAAAAACTATGATTTCTGTGTTGTAGAAGCAATTAAGTTAATGTTGTGAATATGAAATGTATTTAAATTTTTTGACTTACTGTACGAGTTCTTACAAAAGTTTTATCACTTGTTTCTAGTTGGAGGTATTCCATCCTGCCATGTTTCGTAACTATGCCCGTAAGAATGACATGGATGAACCTCCACCACTGGATGATGGCGAGAGTTACGGAGGCTCTAGGAATAAAGTAGATGACTCTAATTTAGAACTGAGATATTACCGTTATGGTATTCGACCAGAATGGTTGCAGATTCATCGAATTCTTAACCAAAGGTGAATACATTGTGCTTCTTGTCTTCTCCTTCGATGTCTAGTTAACGACTAATAATGTCTCAGTGTGTACTTGATGATCTGCGCAACGGTCATAGTCTCCATCTTTGTTCATATGAGACCCATGTCGTGGACATGCGTGGTGCAACAACTATTGTTCTTTAACAGAAGGACTCGTACATGAACAAAACTGGGTTTTATAACCTAAAAATAGAACTGTTAATGCCCATTGCTTGAAATTTCTGTTCATTTTGTCTATATTTGCTTTTGATTGGTACATAGAACACGTCATGGCGTGACATCATACCTTGTGAAGTGGAAAGAGTTGCCATATGACTCGGCTACTTGGGAGTACGAAGATGAAAATATTACTGACTTTGAAAAGAATATATGCGAGTATAGTGCCCATAGGTATGAAACAAATACTTTCTGAATTTACACACACATATTTGTTTGTGACAGATTTCAATTGTTAATGTATTCCTACTTTGCAAATATGTAAAACATCGTTTCCAGAACAAGATAAAAACATAAATGTTTGAAAAATAAAAAGGTTTCAAATAATAGTGTTTTGGTTAAAATAAATGATGTATTGTATGTAGATATCTTGACCTAACTTTTCCTACTCATTTCATTTAGGGGGGGGGGGGGTACTGGAGGGTTTATCCCTTGAACTGACATGACAAACTAAGCTTTCTAGCTTGTGTACATTGTTTACAAATGTAGCTTATTTTAAGGGGCTTGCTTAAATTCATATTCAGCTAATTTCTCATTGCTAGTCTACAATCTCAAACTTTTGTATTATGATTTATATATTGGTCTTGGCATGGTAAAGTTTGTAAAGTGGGAATAAACTTTAAGGCTGGGTTAACCACATTTGAAAACCTGAATTTGGCTGTGTCTAAAGTCAAAAAAAAAAAAAAAAATTCAGGTACCCAATCTTCTCTAATATTTAGTCTACATCTGACAGGGAATTATGTTTTTGGCTCTGAATGTGTGTTTGACATAATTTCTTAGACATGCCTGAACCAATTTTGGATTTTTGTTAAAGTATTTTGATTCTTGATATCCAGATATAATGTTGAGGAACTCAAGGGACATAAAAGAAACAAGAAAAGAGATAAAAAGAAGTCAAAAGAAGCCAGACTGGAACACAAAAAACATCGCCCACCTCCACCAATCAGTCCTTCTGTGGATGTAAGTACATGTATATAAAACGGTGTTTGCTTTTCTTCATCTTTCTTGTATTTTATAGAGCTGTGATTAAAAAACAACATTACCATGTATATTTGTGTGTAAGGGCGAATATACATAAATCCAATCTTTCGGTTGGACAAAACACTTACTCCACATTGTATACCACAGCTGTATCCAAATTAGGTACAGAAATAATTAGGTCTCCACAAGAGAAAATTAAAGACCAGTAAATGGCTAAAATGTCTGTATGTTGAATATTTAATGCGTTTTGACCACACTAAATAAGAAAAACTAGACAAAAGTTGCTGCAATATGTATCTGTGGATTAGGTGGGCAAAATGTTATACTAATGGGAGTTTTTGGTGTGGTTAATAGCATTAGCCGAAATAATAAAATTGATGATTATTTAATGGATTACAGTATTATAATTGGGATTTTAATGGTGCTGATATTGTGTGTATTTATTTTTGCTATTTTTCTTGTAGCCAAGAAAGAAGTATGAAAAACAACCTGATTTTATTAACGCTACTGGTGGAACTTTACACGAATATCAGTTGGAAGGTTTGAATTGGTTACGGTTTTCATGGGCACACAAGACTGATACCATCCTGGCTGATGAGATGGGTCTTGGTAAAACTATACAAACAATAGCCTTCATTTATTCATTGTACAAAGAGGTAGGTAAATCAATTTGTTGATGCATCATGCAGTACATTGCTTTTCTTACCCATTGGATGTTCACTTTATCTGTGTTGGAATAGAAACATCTGATAAACATGACAGTCAGTGTTTTTTTGACTCCCATGTGCGAAGCACAAAATGGGAGTCTTTGCAGTTAGTGTGTCTGTATGTGTGTATGTGTGTATGTGTGTATGTGTGTCCGACTGTTCCACTGCTATCTCAAGAACCATACATTGGTTTTTGATGAAACTTGGTGCATAGATGCTCTGGGCCAATGCGCAGATTTGATTAGGTTTTGGTAAAAATCCATGCTCGTTAATTACCTAATTTGCATGATAATTAGCTAATTTTTAGCTGTTCTATGACTGTTCCACTGATATCTAAAGAACCACTCATTGGATTTTGATGAAACTTGGTACATAGATGCTCTGAACATATGCGCAGATTTGATTAATTTTTGGTAAAAATCCGTGCATATTAATTACCTAATTTGCATGATAATTAGCTATTTTTTAGTGGTTCCATGACTGTTCCACTGATATCTAAACAACCACTCATTGGATTTTGATGAAACTTGGTACATAGATGCTCTGAACTAATGCTAGGTTTTGATTAGTTTTTGGTAATAATCCGTGGATACTAATTACCTAATTTGCATAATGATTAGTCAATTTTCGGTTTTTCCACTGATATCTCAAGTACTAATCATCACATTTCAATGAAACTTGGTACATAGATGTCATACGACACTGCACAGACCTGATAGTTTTTATGGTAATATCAGTACATTTTAATTACCTAATTTGCATAATTAATTAATTTTCAGCATTTGATATAAGTAGTTAGCATTACATTTCAATGAAACTTGGTACTTACATACTCAAGGACTATGCAGAGATTGATTGTTTTCGATAAATATTTGTGCATATTAATCACCTAATTTGCATAATTAGTTAATTTTCAGCTTTTCCACGGGTATCTCAGTACTAATCATCGCATTTT